CTATAAGTGATTCTTGACTTTCAATAATAGTGATATTGGTAAGGCTCATTCGACTAGTGAATGTCATTTACTCCTCTGACTGTGGACAGCCCAAAAGACAAGTCCTGGCTCGCAAAAGCGACCGGATACGGAGGCATAATAACATCATCAACCCAATTACTAGATGCTGTAGTCAAATAAAATTTTCCATTTTCCCCTTGGTTTTCAAGGTCAAAACACTTACGTGAGGCTGGCGAAATCGGCGCGACCAACTGACCGTCTTGTCGGACTAAAGTCGTAGTCACGGCTTGTGCCCCTGCCATGTTTACATGGATTGTTATTGTACCAGCAACCCTCACCGGCAGTGGACTGGCCTTGCAGCCAAAGTTGGTGATGCCGGCTCGCACGAAGATAGTAGTAGTTAAGGTTTTTCTGTCTATCGGATTGCTCAAAATTACAGTAATGATATAGTTGCCCCTTTCAAGGTATGTGTGAGTGTAAGTTTGATTGTCTGTGAAATCAGCTATCACCGTTGGAGTGCTGTCGTTCCAAGACACTTTTGCTTGAGTGAGTTCAGCCAATGGGCCCGATTTCCAAGTGACAACCATGCTTGCCGGAGAGTTTGAGGCTACAAGGCTATTAGTTAAGTTCAAAGTATAGACACCTAAAGGTGCGATAACATAAAGGAGCCGGTCTATATTTATTTGAACACCTCCAGATCTGGCGATTACAGAAGTCTTGAATTGGCCGGTTTCCAAGTAGACATGGGACGAGAGCACCTGACTGGGAGGGGGCGTTGCTGGAGTTCCGTCTATGTTGACTGGTACGGAACCGTCGCCGAAATCAAAAGTAAATCGCACGTTACTGCCGTATTCCAAAGTAGCCGAGAGGGTGAATTGCTGATTTATGGAAATGTACCTGAGTTTTGTGGACAAAGAGGTGTTGTTAAGTGATCAACAAAATAATTACTCACCCCAATAGAGGAGTAAATACTGAGATATGTATGTCGCCTGGCAAAAATACCGATAGATATAAAAATACATTAGATATTAAGTCTAGTTATAAAGTCAATCAACTATATCATATAGTATTATATGATATCAATGTAAAATGAAGTTATTCATGTAGAAGTAAGAGGCATAATCTCATCTAGCTTATAGGCGATCGGGATCTAGTTCGTGTATTTGATTGATATATGATGAAACAGCATAATAGATTCGTAACATGGCCAGGTGAGATAATAAAGTAATATTTGTTCAAAG